TTTTTTCAAAACGCGGCGAAAAAATCACTCATTCGATTCGTAATTCAAACTTTTCCAAAAACATGTAATCACTAGATCTAAAAAAGCGGGGTTATTCTTATATTAAAAAACTAAAATTCAGCTAATTTAAGAAGGGGATTTTCTTCAGAGGCACCACCGATATAAAAAATCGATAAGGGTATTAGTTTCTTTCAGAAAATCGATGGGTATAATCAACCATGTGAAAAAAGTGCATTGAATTATCTGATAGGTTTTTGTCTCACCTCTCTAACGCTGTTTTCAGATTTTAAAAATTCCGCTTACATACAGCAGTATTTGTACGATGCGCTTTTTAAGCTTATGATTCAACAATTCGTAGTTAGCTCGATCTGTCAAAAACCCAGCGAAGCAGGATTATTGAATCGTGAGCTAAAAAACGCATCATACAAAAACAGCTGTATCTAAACGGAATTTTTGAATTTTTAAAATTTGAAAACAGCGTTAGAAAAATGAAACAAAAACCTATCAGATAATTTGATTCACTTTTTCACATAGTTGATTATACTCAGCAATTTCCTGGAAGAGACTAATACATTTATTGATTTTTTATATAAACCCACGATTGGAATACGCGTTTTTTTATATGAAAATAATTTCTAAGTAATAAACTTTAAATCAGTAAAATTTCACTTTTGGGCTTGACGTAAAGAAATTGTACTTTTTGATGCAAAATTAAAAATATTCCATGTACAAATCTGAAAAATTACTAGCTTGTGTAAAGTAGTTAGTTAGATTAGAGCACATACTCAAATTTCATGAAAATTGCTTCCAAATTTTGGTTTTAAACTTTGAAACAGTAAAATTTCATTTTATACCTTTTCGGTAAGAAATTGCTTTCTTTGTTGAAAAATGAAAACTGTTCATCGCATGGATCTAAATCCAATTAGATACTTTTCAACTTAACAAAATCCTTATTAATAAATCTCAATCCACCAATTGTCCAAAATCAAATTCGCAATAATTATGCCAGAAATATATAGAAAAATATATTCTGACAATTATTAAGCATAACTGAAATGATACTTTTTTCAAAAGTTTATGAGTGCAAGTATGACAGTCTTATCCTTATTATTCACATCTAACTCGCAAATTCTTTATTTTTCTTATTGTGGAAAAGTCTAATATCAATCCACTGTTGAATAATTACTTAATGAGCTATGATTGTCATGAAATCAAACATATTCTGACAACTATTCATAGGCAAATTTGAAGTTTTTTATTTTCAAAATTTTTATGAGATCATTTATGCGAACTACTATTTTAGTACATATCACGAAAAGTGAAATAATAATCTTGTTTGGTCATGTAAAGTTATCATTTGTATAAAAAAACCTTGCTTATGTCTCTACTTGCGCGGCCGTCTCAATCAAAATCTAGACATTCGCATTTGTCTTGAACTTAATATAAAAATTTTAATGCATACTGAAAAATGAATTATATTAGTTTTTATTGTTGAGAATAGTTTTTCTTTTACATTTAAAACAATTTTTTATTCTAATATTTTTGGAGAGTGTGAGGAAGTCATACTGAAATTATTTTCCTTTTGATATGAAAACCTTTTTTGAGGACATGTGTCTACGACTCAATGAAAATTTAATGCATGTGATTATGTGATTAATGTAATTGATGTTTGCAAACATTCGGTTATAAGCATGAATTAATTCAAAAATGACACTCTAATATTTGAATGCGTAATTTAAACAATTCAGATATATTTAACAACATTTGTAAAATGTACGGGAAGCTTTAGTTTCATTATGTTGTAAGTTTCGCATCGATTTTGATTGAGACGGCCGGGCAAGTAGAGACATAAGCAAGGTTTGTTCTTACTAATGATAACTTTCCACGATGAAATGAGATTATCATTTCACTTTTCGTCAGATGTACTGAAATAGTATTTCCCATAAATGATACCATAAAAATTTGAAAATAAAAAGTTTTAAATTTGCCTATGAATAGTTGTCAGAATATGTTCGATTTCATTAAAATCATAGCTTATAAAGTAATTATTTAACAGTGGATTGATATTAGATCTTCCCACAATAAGAAAAATAAAGAATTTGCGAGTTAGATGTGAACAATAAGAATAAGACTGTCATACTTGCACTCATATAATCTTTTGAAAAAAATATTACCAAAATTTTGAATTACTGTATGATAACATTTTCAATTTTTATAGAGTCTGAAAAACAAATATTTTAGTTATACTGAATAATTGTCAGTATATATTTGATTTCTGACAATTATTGAGAATTGGATTTTGGACAATTGGTGGATTGAGATTTATTAATAAGGATTTTGTTAAGTTGAAAAGTATCTCATTGGATTTAGATCCATGCGATGAACAGTTTTCATTTTTCAACAAAGAAAGCAATTTCTTACCGAAAAGGTATAAAATGAAATTTTACTGTTTCAAAGTTTAAAACCAAAATTTGGAAGCAATTTTCATGAAATTTGAGTATGTGCTCTAATTCAACTAACTACTTAACACAATCTAGTAAGTTTTCAGATCCATGCATAGAATAATTTTAATTTTGCATCAAAAAGTACTATTTCTTTGCGTCACTTCGGGAAAATTTTTTAAAGTTGATTTTTCGCTCAAATTTTTATGTTTGTTTTTGTTTAAACAACCATAACTTTTTGAAGAAGCATCAAATCTTAAATTTGAGGCCAGATGCTGAAAGGGCATTAAATTTTACATAAAATTATGTACACGCAAAGTTTTTTTGAGTCTCAAAAAGTGAAAAAGAATTGAGTCGATCACGAACAAAAAATTCCGTTACTCTGAACGTGCATGGGTTATTGATAGGTCGTCATGTGACACTAGTACCTGATCAAAAGTGACCCTCGTGTCTGGTTTGGGTACCTTCTTTATTTTGTTAATAACTGTTTTCAAAATTTATCTTACAAGAATTAAAAAAAAAAGAAAATTAAAGTTCAAGCTTCTAGCTTTCTAGTGACATAAATTTCAAACGCGAAAAATGTTTTTTATCGCTTTGCTACTTACAAGGAGAATCTTTCACCTGCGGGTCACAGATCTTTACCAAACTTGTTTGGGGGTCTCCTTGTACATAATAATGAAGCCATCGATGGTTACTTTATCCAATGGGCCCTGGAAACCATTATAAAGCACCATAAAGTATATAATATAATATAATGTATAAAATACCATATATTAGCGTATCATGGTATCAGGTTTACACAGTCAATTCTAACTGACTGAGAAGTATTTATACTTTGAGTTTTCAATGTCCAAAACACCTTTTCAATCAATAAACAATTTAACTCAATTGGTTTACTGAAAAAGTCTCAATGAGCGAACCAATTCAAGCTAAAATTTATGCATTTATCAACAAATATTTATATTAAATCATGTAAAAATGTTTTCATTTATAAAACTTACTGTTCTTTCTTTCTCACCTATTTCTGGCACTCAAAACATATGTAAATTCACTCCAGATAATTGTCAGGAATAGGTGAAGAGAAGGGATATGCAATTTATACAAATAAAAACATTTTCATATAATTTATATCAATATTTATTGTTTGGTGCGTTAATTTTAGCTCAAATTGGTGCGCTTTTTAAAACTTAACACAGCAAACCAATTGAGTTCAATTGTTTATTGTTTGCAAAAGTGTTTAGAATCCATAAAAGTTCATGTACAAATATTTTTGAGAGAGTTAGACTTGAACAAGGCCTGATACCAATAAGTGGTATTTTTTAACGTTATATTATATTTAATACTTTTTTCTGCTCTATTACTCTTTCCAGGGCCCAATGGAATATAGTAACTATAAGGGGCTTCATTATCATGTAGAAGAAGACCCCTAAACAAGTTTGATAAGGATCTGTGACCCGCAGATGAAAGGCTCTCCTTGTTAGTTGAAATATTGGTGATATTGGATTTTTTAATCCAAAATTTTTAACAATTTTTTTTTGTTGGAAAAAATCGATTTAAAAAAATTTCTTTTAGTACAAATATAATAAATAATAAAATAATTATGGAAAAATTCATTTCATAATTTTAAGTTGGAAATCGCATTATTATGGAGGTGGCACGGTTACCAGCCAAGTTCCAATTACCCGCCTCACCCTTATGTTATCCCTCGATTTCCAGCAATCACACAGTTGATAAACGATCCATGGTCGGTATAGTAGAAACTTTTCATAAAATTTTTAACAAAATAAAAAAAACTCCACTTTCATAAACTAAATAGATGGTTTATTGCACTGTTTGTTTAACTTCAATCTTTGTTGATGCTGAGCGCAGCAAAGTCGTACACATTCGATATTGCTAATTTTCGATGTTTTACTTTAACTGCGATAACTCATGCAGGGATAAACCAATCGATCTGAAAATTTTACATAGCATTCTTAAGGTGTTCACGGAGTGCTGTATACTTTTTTTTAGCAACATCAGTGTATCTTAATATGCAAAAAATGCATTTTTATGCAATTTTGAGTTTTGATCAATATTCGTGTGTAAATTTTGTAATATATATTTTGTGGGTTATTTATGGGTAATTTTTTTTTGTATACATTCGATATTGCTTATTTTTGATATTTTATTCTAATTGCGATAACTCATGCAGGGATTAACCAATCGATCTGAAAATTTTATATAGCATTGTTTCGGTGCTGATAGAGTGCTGTATACTTTTTTTAGTGACATCCGTATATCCTAATATACAAAAAATGCCTTTTTATGCAATTTTGAGTTTTGCACCTCGCGACATCTCCACTTCGAAAAAACGTAATTTTTGTTTGCGATCGGTCTTACTTGTATATCGGTATTTAACATTGTACTTATGACAAGTATATTATGTGTCGTGTTTTGAGTACCACTATACTGAGCGTAACATGATTGTGATATAGTATAATTATGTCGTGTTTCAGTTAAAATTATACAGATGACAATTATATTATATGTCGTGTTTTGAGTATCACTACTGAGCAAAAATTTATGATATGTTTATTTATTATATGCTAATAAATAAATATATGTTAATTTATGATATGTTAATTAATTTATTTGTCTCGATGTTTCATCATTTTGTGCGGTATTAATAGGTACGTTTTAAGATCTCTTGTATTGATCTCGTGCTTAGGTATTGTCTTCATGCACACTTTTGACGTGTCTGCATAAATATTTTCTATGTTTAAATTTTTTTCCGCATAAAACACAAGCGTGATCAATGTCTTCGTGCTGCATTTTAATGTGAGTTATAAGAAGATCTTTTTGAGAAAATGTCTTGCCGCACTTATTACAATAAGTGGTCTTATTATGCATCAAATTCATGTGTTTTTTAAGATTACCCTTTAGTTTGAATGTCTTTCCGCACACTTCGCAAGTATGTGCCACACCTTTATGCATCGCATCGATGTGAATCTTGAGAGAAAATTTTTGTGTGAATGTTTTTCCACATGTAACACACGTATGTTTAACACCATTATGTCCATCGATGTGGATCTTGAGAATACATTTTTGTGAAAATTTTTGACCGCATATATTACATGGATGTTTAACACCATTGTGTGCATCGATGTGAATCTTGAGTGCAGCTCCAGTTAAGAATTTCTTCCCGCATACTTCGCAAGTAGGTGCCATACCTTTATGCATTTCATCGGTGTGAATTTTGAGCTTTCCTTTTTGTGTGAATGTCTTTCCACATATACCACACTCATGTTTAACACCATTATGTACTGAATCGATGTGGACCTTGACATAATCTTTTCGTGCAAATTTTTTACCGCATATATTACATGGATATTTGGTACGATTGCGTGCCTTATCAGTTTGGGTTTTGCGTTGACTATTTTGAGCAAATGTTTTTTCATTTGCATCAAATGCATCACTGAGTTCACCATCCAAATTCAATTCCTCTTTTACTTTGTCGACAATTTCTTCTTTAATTTTCCTTGGAGTCTGATAATCGCAACTATTTTTCATATGCTGCCATTGATCTGGATAATCGTCCTCGATTTTCTTGACTACTAATAAATTAATGCCGAGCTTCTCGTCCTTACATTCGAATTCTATTTCCAAATCGTTATTAGGTCCAGAATTTTCATCATTTTCACGAAGCCCATAAATCTGGAAATGAGATTAGTAAAAATATTTGATCAAAATATTGACTAAACAGTCCCGCATCAACACTTACTAAATTTTCCCGACAATAACTCGAGAATTCGTCGTTTTTAGCATCGCATGCATTGTCAATTATCTTATAATCTTCATTTTTAATTGGGGAAACATCATCTGGTTCCTTCTTCACTCTGCAATATTCCCAATAATATAAAGTATTATGACATTTTTTTTTAAATTTCATTCTCACGAAACAAAAATTACCTGACATCAGAGTTATATACATCACTGAAGTGCATGTTTATCACTCGGAACTTGATTAACGACTAATTGTTTTGTAATGATGTTACACATCGAGCTAGGTAACATAAGTGTAATAATATTTACAAATCGTGAAATGAAAGTTTGAGAAAATTTATGTCAACAGAGACACTCTAAACTTATCATTTATTATTGGAGAAATTATACTATTGATCTCGTAATAAACAATTAGCCATTTTCTTTGAATTGTATCTTATTACAAAGAAATTATAAATTATTGAACACTTCATGAATCGAGCTTATGGTATGTCCTATAGTCCTTTTCGCATAATTTTTTTCGACGCGCAAAATATGAAACAAAGTTAACGTGAGCGAATGAAGGGTTTATATACATTTTCATATTACACTAACGCCAAATACGTGACTACAGTCGCATCTATAGATCATTTACCATCATTTACCATTTTATCATTTACCATTTTTACACAACGAGCGAATATCGTACATCTATGTAATCTATGTGTGATAAATATGCATGGTTAGTAATGTAGTCAAATATATATCTATGTATATTGTCACGTGGGCACACCGGGCTAGCTTAAGGGGAGGCTCTCATGAGACTCGATCAAAAAATCGATTTTTTTTTTGCTTACTTAGATAGCAAATGTCCCGTAGAATACACCCCCGAAACCCTTTTTACCAAAATCGATTTAGTTAAAAAGTTATAGGCAAAAAACCGAGGCTGTCTTTTTACGAGGGAACGATGTATGTATGTATGTACATTCACTTTCTAAAATTTTAAACGCGTTTTTCTCGAAACTATGTTTTCTGAATCGGGCGGCAAGATATCTCGAAAAGTACTGCACTTAGAGATACGTTTTTTTTTATTTTAAAGCTAATTAAATTGTCTGGAGGTTGAACCTATAAAATTTTAAATTTTTTTACAGCCCTTAAAAGAGCCAGAAAAGGGCAAAAAAAGAAATTTTTTTTCCGAAGTCCGCCATTTTATCAATTTTTAATTTTTTTGCAATTATTTAGGTTCAACCTCCAGCAAATGTCATCTAGTTTAAGAGGAACTTCGCATTTTTAGTTTCGGGCAAAAACTGAAGGCGCTAGCTTGCCGCCCGTTGAGGTACCTTTTTCTAACACGACCTCCATCAAACGCTGCTAGGCGATAAATAATTCGATATTTTGGTCTGAAAAAATTTGTAAATATAGTTGAATACATACTTTATAAGTACCAAAAAAAATTTGACTGCATTATTCACTTCCTTCCACGAAAAAAAAATCATGAAAAACATGTCATTTTTGAGGCGCTAAATGAGAGCCTCCCCTTAACGCGTACATACAGCTCTATATGTGTTGGCATGCCATGTGCAAATTCCTTTTGTCGCAACGTTGTCAATACACGCTGAGCAAAAAACATCGATAAGTGAAATCTATTTCGTTCCGTGCGAATTACGAAAACCTGTATTCATATATATACCTATACTAATGTACATGTAGGGTACATCAAACTAAAAAATACTCCCTATTTTTGTGTTTTACTTCCAATTATACCAATAATGATTTTAACGGCTTTACAAAATTAGCTGACACAAAAAACTCATTGTAACATTGATTTATTATGATACTCATTGAAGCTACTATTATTAATTTCATACGGCTGAAACAACTATTATCATGATGTCGTATGCTATTTCGTTATTTACCATTCAGTCGCTCAGCATTTTGCAACTGTTGCCACTAGTATTGAATTACTTTGCCGTTCAATCACTTTTGCCATACTTAAGTAAAAAATGAGTAAACTTCAAAACGTTATAACTCAGTCAATAGAAGTCGTATCACGATTTTGAACCGACCATTTGAAAGGTCTTTTCAAGCCCTTTCTAACCATATAAATGAGTATGGTATGTATAAATTAGTTCATGTATTCACTTATTGCCGTTAACAATTAACAAGTGGAAAAAAAAGTTTTTCTGGTCTCTGCTATTTCTGCTGTCGTTTAGTAAGAAGACTCGTAGAAACATTCTGAGCCCATCAATCTGTAGGTGTTGTCGAACTTGAAATCTTTTTTTTAAAAAGGGTCCTACGTGCATTCTTCGTAAAGATACGATGGTTTAACTATAGAGTAATAATTGTTTTCAATTTCAAATTATTTTATAGCACCGTGTGGCATAAGTTCACATTTATGGCACGCTTTTCTGTGGCATAAGTCACACATTCTGGCACCGCTGCGTTCGCATCACACTTGCATGCGCTTGTGCGCTAACCTCACTTCGCGCTACCAGAAGTGCGACTCATGGCTCGGAAAAGGGGGCATAAATGTGAACTTTGCACAGTACTATAAAATATTGTTTGATACTCGGGCCATAGGGGACACTTTTCGGCCCAGCTATTAGGACCCTCGCTGCGCTCAGTCCCTAAACTACGCCGTGCCAAAAAGTGTTACTTATGGTCCTTGTATCGAAAACTGATCAGGATAGGTAATAGGTAACCGATTGATAATAAAAAAGGTGATAGACGCGCTGTTACATTTTGATGTTATATGGCAGAAAAAGTAAACAAATACATGAATAAATTATTACCGTGGTTACTTACAATACAAGATTTTTTCATTTCTGTCACAACTTTTTCTAGCAGGATTAGAGATTCCTCTTTCTTTTCTTTTTGTTGTTCAGTCAGATCTGATTGTTTTTGTTTAGTTTTAGTTTCGGATTCTTTATTTTTCAAATCTTACATGTAATTTTCTTCAATTTTTTTCCTACGATGTTTTCTGGAATTCTTAGCAATTTCTATAGTTCCATATGTCTTGAAATTTTCTAATTTTTCTTTCATATGATCCCACACTATAAGATTTTAAGAGAGTTAAATTAACTTCATTTTAATAATAATTTTTTATATAGCAGAACTAAAAAATAAAAATTAAACTACCACCAAATCATTGACAAGTAGCTTCTTCTCTTATAATAGAAGCTCATTTGTCTATGTTTTTATTTATAATTTTCCTGATTTATAGATACAACTGGATTTTCACATCGAAATTAACATGGAAATCTACATGGATTGACCCATAATCTACATGAAAATCCTCACGGATTAACCTGAAATCCATGGAAATTTCCCTGTAGACTATTAAGTAAAAATCAAACTGTTCATCTTTAATAAGGATCGAAATAAGGACCGATCGCATCACACTCCATAAAAAATAGAAAGTGCGACTCATGCCACAGAAAGCGTGCCATAATTTTGAACTTATCCCATGCAGTGATACATTACATTAAAATAGTCCTCTGTTACATAAATGAAGTAAATGTGCAATTTTAAATTTGAAAAAGAAAAATGATTTTATAAACTCACAACCAGTTGCCAAAATTTTGACAGGTTCAATATTGAATTCAACATTTTTTAATTGGCTTTTTAATGTACGAATAGAGTAGGTACTACATTCAGGCCAATATATTTCAACTATTTTGCCATTTTCTATTAATTCTACAATTTCTTTTTCATCATTTTCATTTTTAATTCAGGGAAAGAAACCAATATCTAATTTTTTTTCATTTTCATTGACAAATTCAACCACAACACAGTATTTATTTTCAATATCCCCTAATTTCTTAGAAATTAGAGAATTCATTTTCAACCTGTAAAAAATGCATTAAAATTGGGAATAATCAAAGTTTTCCTCTTTTAAGAAAAAAAATGCGAAACCTTTAAATTTAAATTTTTATTGGTCATTAAATAAGCTTAAGTGAGCAGATGCAGAAGAAGATAAGAACGTTAAAGTTATAGGTTTAAGTAAGTGACAAATTATTGATGTAGCATGAAAAGGGTGCGATAAAAGAGTAAGAAATATTTCGTAATAAAGATATAGAAGATATTCAGGAGTTATAACGGATAATTGTAATGGAACGGTTTGTTGACTTTGATTTCCATTCATAAAGAATTTATGAAAATTCTGTAATTATTAAAATTGAAAAGTTCAACTTAATTTTCAACTTTGAAAATTCAATCTTGAAAAAAGTAGATTACAGAGCAAAAAATCTGAGGCAATTTTGGTTTACTTTTCATGTTGGGTGTTTTCTTGAGTTACTCGGAAGATTTTGCGGATAACATGTCTAGGGAGTGAAAAACTAAAAAGTCTCAAAGTATGTATAATTATCATTCGAGGTTCATAAAATTTGAAGAAAAAGCGTTGATAAACGATTACAATTAAAGAGTAGAAAAAGCTATTCACTACCCTTCTGTTTTTATTTACAAATTTAGAAAAATACGCCAATTACGCCAATACGTCAACGGGTTTCTCGAAAAAAGGTTCGATGCAAACTAACGTACAAGAAAATAATAACAAATAACAACTTCGTACGATGCAGTCAGACACTAGGCTAAACAAGTTTTCAGCAAGAAGTGACATAATATTATACCTAAAACTTGTGTATTAATAGAAAGTGTAGGAAAAAATTCAAGCAGGGTACTATACAGAGCCCGAAAAATCGTTCATTAACATTTTTTAACATTAAAATCGGTTAATTTTTCTTGAAGTTGTACTTCAAAAAATATCGTAACTGGAGTCAAAGCGTGAAGGTAGCTCACGGATACGGTTATGTCTCATTTGCTCAGACTTCGTTGTTTTCAAGCGCAAGATTACGAGTTGTAGCATCAGATTCAGAAAGTCAAACAGAAATACTCTATCGAATGTACGCAAGTGACAACAACGCATTGTCATAGTGGCAGATGTCAAACATCGAAACGACGCGGTGCGTTTAGCACTTACTTATTCATAAATAAGAGCGATATCTTAATTTTTTGCTTCACATAGTATAGGCATTATAAATATAAATACGCAAATCTCGCTTTAAAAAACCTATGCCTTAAAACTACCTCGTTATGACGTTCGACATAGACGTGCAGCGTTGGGGCATCGAGATTATCAGCGTCGCGTGATCATTGGCAACTCTCACACTGGAGCCACACACACAAATACACACAAGCAAAGCGCGTCAACGGGAATTTCGATGCTGCCGACTGAGCAAATTTATACGTGTGATCTTAACTTCGTAGAGCAGACAAATTTTTCGATCGAGATAAAAAATTCGATGGCTTCGCGATAGATATCACGTATCAAGTCGGCGCATATTTGTAGATGTCCATTCAAAATTTTAATTTAATTAATATGAAAAACATCAAAATACGATACCATAGATTGATTAAAATTTGAATTTCCCTTTTCGGTCGTCTCGATGGTGTAAGTCGGCTGCTGATGATGAAGCTCTGTCCCTCTGCTATCTTCCAAGGTTAAGAGCGGGTAGAACCAATTTTTGCGCATATGATGCGTCCTCAACTCGTGGACGCAGGGCATCTTGTCCCTCCTCGCGGGGCTGCTTTCGTGGCTCAAGCTGCAATATCGTGCTTTTGACTCTTGATAGCGCTCCGTGGAAGCAACGGCTCCGGCATCTGCTCATTCCTGATTATAGTAGTAAAATATTCTACAGCTGTGTCTTAATATTGTATAGTTGTATTGCACAAGTCGTCAGCATAACCGTATGTCTGTCTTTATATTGCAAGTTGACACTCATAACTACAGATGATACATGCCGGCTTAATAGCAATGCATGTGACGTGAGCATAGCCTAATGCTCGGAAAAACCTTGTGGTCTGACTACTTTTTGGCTGATTAAATTTTTTAAGATACCAATTTTTTTAATGACATTGCTATTGGCACGACAAACCATCAATTTACTCCTAGTAAAATTGAATGCTGATCATTTACGAATTTTAATTTGCAAATTTTATTCATTCTTTAGCAACATTTTATTTTATAAAATCATGGATTATTTGAGACGAGGAGTAAAAAGAATGAAAAGAGGTCCTTATAAACAATATGATATTGATCCACAAAAAGTTGTTCCAAAATCAACTACAAGATCAAGAGAAAAACAGGAAAAAATAGAGGTGTGTTGAATATTTCATAGACAAATTTGATCGCATTTTTCATGATATTCAAACAATCACTTCATCGTGAGACAAAAGCATTACTTTACCAAAAAACTACCTTTTTTTCTGAGCAACTATTAGATAAGTGAAAATATTATAATAGTTTATTGTAAAATGATTTTAAGATGAAGCTGAAAGAAAGCAAATTTTTCATACATAGCTTTCATATAAATTTTTTTCTGGCAAAGATATTGATTATTAAATAATCAACAATTGGTTGTATCAATTGTTTCTAATTTAAAACAACAAAATCCACTTTGCACCCAAACCCATCATGCCCCTTGTTCCCCTACTAACAGAACTAGAGTAACAACTTTGACTTATGCGTGAACTATTGGTCTCTTTTTATAATATCAGATTGCAGAAAGAATATTATGACAGTTTGAAAAATATGAATTCTCAAAGTAAGTATGAAAATAATTTCGATACCCTTTAAAACTAAAAATGTATGTTATAAAGTTTAATATTACATAAAAAATAGCTTCCGATTAATTAATAACGAGCTTTCTCATAAAAAAATTATCGTTCCTATTTTATTTATAAATGCTTATAAAGCTTTTTTCAAACTTAAATCCTGTGAAAGAAAAATAACATTTCCGAAAAATAAAAATAATAGTATATTTTGGCTGATAAATTACACGTGCTCTGAGACTTTCCAGTTTTTCACTCCCTAGGTGCAAAATATACTATTTCTTCATCAAGATGTAAATTTTAAAATAAAAGATGAATCCTAATGTTTTTGGTCTTAATTAAAACTTTGAAATATTAAAAATATCGAGATGAAACTTTTTCGGGTTTCATCCTCGATCCAATCAACAAAAAATGCAGTTTATTTCAATGAGATTCTCCGACTCATTATTGAAAAAATTCGTGCCACATACATGGTACATACCCACACACAGACACACACACCCAATCACTGTGCAAGAAGGTATCTATTTCAAATCTGTAGCAAGAAGGATACTTACTCGCGCGTAGAGGCAAAAAGGTACCTTATTCAAACTAAGTGTCAAGAAAGTTTTGACGTGCTGACTTTAGGTTGGCAACGCAGCCGTAAATGATAAAAGTTTGTTTTGTATTAGAGCAAAAAAGAGAAAAAAACAATTGAGCTAGAGTAATGATTTTCATCCATTTTTAATGCGAGCAAACACATCAATCTCGCCGCGATTTCGACTCAATTTGCCTCTTTTGGAGAACTTTGTATGTTCTGAGAGGAAAGTAGAAGTTATCGGCTTTACATGACTTTGAATTAAATATTGAATGTTGAAACAAAATTTCATCATTTTCGGCTGCATTACCAACCTAAATTCAGCGAGCGAAAACTTTCTTACCACTTCGTTTGAATAAGGTACCTTTTTGCTTCTAGGCTCGAGTTAGATACCTTTTTGCCGCTGCTCTCGAGTTAGATACCTTTTTGCCTCTGCACGCGATTAAGTATCCTTCTTGCTATAGATTTGAAATAGATACCTTCCTGCATTGGGGCGACGAAATGCAATAAAAAATCTATTTTTTCATATTAAAACTAGGATTTTATTAAATAGGATCAAAAGATTAATTACATTACATTGACAGCAATTTAATCTATTAATTATTGCTAATGCTGTTGCATTTGTAAAGCATTCTCATATCAAATCTGAACTCAGAGAGTCAGCAGTGTTATCGATATCTTCTTCAGTAAACTAATTTTATATCTTTTCCAATGAAATTACGGCTTTTTCTTTTGATAATGTAAACAATTTAGTTTGCATCAAATGACCACGAACTTCCACAATCTTTTTTGGTTATCAAGTTTTCGATCCAACTGATGAATAAACAGAATTTACCGATGACACATCTGGTGTTGGTCCGTCTCAGGCAAAGTTATTGATCTTCGATCGAATCAGTAACATTTGGTAGCGGCTTAACTCCGATTTTAGCTGCATTATCATTTCTAAAAATTTAATATTATTTTAGATGAAAAAAATTGTATTTACTATTTTTAAAATATTTACATACATAATTTTAATTGAAAATTCTCTTATATATTTCAACTCGTCATTATCAATATCTAATCCTATTGCTTTCAAATATGCTCGTATTGCTTGAAGGAAATCAGGTTTGGTTAGAAACGTAGTAGAATTAAAAAAAGATCTAGCCGATTTCATTATGGAAACGTCTTGTTTCTCTAGTTCTGGAAGACAACGCAGTTCGTTATAATACTTGCACGCATTATTTCGATCACAACTATATATTTTCAAGTAAGTTTGATCGTCTTTTCCCGGATACAATACAATCTCTATACATGCGACCATCAGTATCCCATAATTGATCCGATACAGATGTATTGTCTTGACATAATCTATTGTAAGAGTAAGGAGGGTATTTTTAAACGTGTTGCGTTCTATTGGACCCCTACCTCCTGAACTTTTTTGCATCACCTTCCGTATCATATAAATCAAAAGATGTCTATCCTCTAAATTCTCTTCTTCAATTTCCTCGACAATTAAATATTCTTGTAAATTGATAACAGAGGTTGCATTAAGTTTGTTAAACAAATATTCTGGTGTAATTAATAACGTTTTATTTAGAGGTTTACGTGAAGTAAATTTAGGCTCTACTGGCTGCTGTGGTTTATTATTATCTCTAAAAATAGAATATAATTTTAGAATGAACAATTTTATCAAAAATTTGAAAGTATTTACTAACATAAATTGAATCGATGCTTCTCGGATATAAGATAATTCATAATTATCTATTTCAATATTTCTTAAATATGCTCTGATCATTTTCAAGAAATCAGGTTGTTCTAAAAACTTAGAGCACTTAAAAAAAGATCTAGCTGATATAGCTATGTTCACTGTTTGTTTCTGTTTTTCTGGAACACCACACAGCTTATTATACATCTTCATTGCGGTCGATCTATTACAATCATATATCTGCAAGTATTGTTCATAATTTTGGTTGGGGTACAGGATATATTCAACACTAGCCACAGCCAATATGCCATAATTTAATCGATACAAATTTACCGTTTTCAAATAATCAATCTTAAAGCTAACAATCGTACTTTTAAACGACTTTAAATAACACAACGGTATTTTAATTCCCACAAATCTTCCCATTACCTCACGTATTGTATTCCTTAAGATATTTTCATTCTCTAATTGTTCTTCTTCGATTTCGTTGAGATTCAAATAATCGACCAAATTAATAAGCTTATCAACGTGATTTTTTTGTAAAAAATATTTACATTGTACTAAATGGTTCATCCTGCTTTCCCTCATGTCGAAATGCTCTGGCACTGACCAAACAATATATTTCTATTTGAATATTTGATGTGCGAGACATCCGACAACAATCACGGATCTATCTATACTAATATAACAGTTACACAAATTCACTCTTCGTGAGGTAAACATCGTGGTTTCGCATAAATATTAGAATACAACAGTCAAATAATACAATAATGAAAGCATACTTTCGAAATGTATCTTTGAGAGTATTTTACGTATTCTCGATTAACTTTTTTATTTTTAAGAATACATATTTCGGTAGAATAGAAATTCACGGCAGATCTAAACTTTGTGCTAAATTTAGTCTGCATTGATGATAATACCTATTTCAAACACGCACCAAAGATCATCTTATATGCTTAGTTTTTATTTTTTTTTATTTTTCCTACGTTCAATCGCTAGCCAAGAGAGAAAATATTTTGAAAAATTCCAAGTCGTCGACCCTCTTAACCCTTTTCGGCCCAAAACGACCCAAACAACACGTCACTCTTCGAAGCTGTACACTGTACAGTGTACTCGTATTGAATATATCTATCTATATATGCAGCTACCAACTCTCGTACATGCGCGCGCGCGTGTGTGTAGTATTGTGTGGTTCACGTCAATCGAACATATTGCATTATATTGTTTCGAATCGGTTTCGTTCTGCGAAACGGACTCGTTTCTGACACACAGACGACATTTCTATCAGTGTATCAGATGGACAGATATTACTTTACAATAATTAGACCTACGTTATTAGTTCATAACACCTTTTGGGCCAGTTTTCTACTGATGAGCTGATCTTTAAAATCTCGGCCCTTTAAAGATTAATGAACGCCAAGGTAACTCAACCAATTTTTGTCTGAAATCAAAAAACCGCTGCCAATTTATTGGCAAAGAGCTCCCTCATAAAAAATATTAATAAGAGGCATCGGTTATTAACGTGAAAATTCGTATTTTTAAATTTTGATTCACTGTCTAGTGTCCTAACTACCAGTAGATCACGACCATCAGGACCATCGGCCAAAAGGCCGAGAAAACAAAAACTCATACAGACATTTGTTGGTAATTCAATGTAGTTTCCAAATATATAAACCAAATTGTCCTACGAGGTCTGGTTCAAAATCTCGTTTTCCAGCCTATCACAGAGCTTCCTCTATGAGGAAGCAATTGAAGTAAATAAACACATTTTTATCGTATCTTGTAATTATGTCTTAGAGCATCGTCAAATCAACTTTAAACATTCATTGATGAGTATATGCTAAACCCCAAAGAGTAAATTTCATGAAAGCTCTGAAGAGGAATGTACGCAGTTTCCTCTTTTCAATTAGGCGGTAGAACTCAAACGAGTAATATGTAAACATTACTATTTTTAAAAGTATAACGAGAGTAGGTTATTATTTTAATGACGCACCGTAACAGAGTATTTGGTTCAAATTACACATTTTAAATATTGAAAAATAAATTGTATGATCATAGTTTTTATCATGCACTACTAAAATATCTACAAAGAGTGATCAAAATTTGACTTTAGCCCAGACTCATACCGATAATTCTCACATTTAGCTGACAAAAACTCTATCGATTAAGAAAAGAAAGTCTTGGTTCAAATCATGGCTATGCTGATATCCTAAAAATTTTATTATCGCCCTATTATGCACAGCTATATTTTTTTAATTATTTCATTTGAGAGATCAAAAAACGCAACAAGATTTTTGACTCATTTTTATTTTATTTCAAAGTATAACAAAGTATATGTTAGTTTGCCTATATAATACAGCGATTCCATGTTTACTATCGTAGTAATTAAAATACTATCCCGATTTTTAGCGCGCGCTCTCTTCTTTCTTTCCCATTTTGCCATTTTTCAATATTTAAAATAGAAAAATGAGATAAACGAAGATTATGTTATAAACTGCAAACATCACAATTTAGTCTTAAGCCGTCAGGCGACAATCTCTTATTTGCGCGCCACTAAACAATTGCATGCTACTGAACGACCAATCACAGCGCTTATAATCTGCTCACGCTAAAAACCTCACCATTCTTATAGGATAGGATAATTTCAATGAATTATTCTTGAATTTGATATTCTTCAAAAATTCATTTACAGTTTTTTGCATTTTTAATTTCAGACAAAGTTAAGATCTGGATTGAGTTTGAAGGGAATAAAAGGACTATTATATATGCCGTATTTAAAAGGAATGGAAAAACTATATACAAGACGTATTAGAAATTGAACGAGCTTTTGAGTAAGTTTTTACGTTTGATCTTGTATGCAAAAAAATTTCAGAGTAATTTTATGTCGATTTTATTATTATTCTCTCTTAAAAACTACTGCCAATGCATTGGAAAAAGCTTACTATACAAAAAAAGTATCCCTTGTATTCTCATTATCAATTCTATTATTGCCAATAAATGGTAATGAAACAACTGTTCGAAAAATATACAAAAATCATGAGTGAATGTTGCAAATTCCTCGTGTCTTTTAATTCTTACTAAGCTTGAGGTTTTAGTCACCGATGAAAGCGAACGTATAAATCAAGCTATCATAAATGAACACCATCATTATTACGATGCAATACCTATAATATTGAGATAATCTCAACATTTTCGGTCTTAAATTAAAGTCGTACATCTCATCTTTCATAATCAGTGACCAAGTTATAAATTAAACATGTCTCAACGTCGAAAAATAAAATAGCGAAAAGCCCTTGCCCAATTCATTGGAAACAAGCTAGCTCTTAAAAGTATGCTTTTTTACATTTATACTTATGAATATTAATAGAAAATTACTAATATTCGATTCTAAAATAATTTCTTAATCCGGAGGATGTATTTTTTGCACCAAACGCGCTGAATGTGTCTTGCTTAATAACCAATTGACCATCATCTCTGTCGTACTTCTCTTCTCATTCATATACCTTAAGGGGAGTCATACACCAATTACCTCCTCTTTGTCATTTCTCTCTATATTATCTCTCTATATTATAAGATAATATCGCCGCCATTCGGTGAAATGGTCATATGACGTCATTATCGCCGCCATTCGGTGGAATGGTCATATGACGTCATTACGCGATGATCACGTGATTCGGTCGAAAAGTCACATGACGTCATCACGTGATGATCACGTGATTCGGTCGAATGATCATATGACGTCATCACTTGATGATCACGTGATCAAAAGGTCATGTGACCTTTCTATAACGATGTCATCAAGTGACAGACCTTTTGATTATGTCACTTTGACCTTTCGATCACGTGACGATCACGTGATTACGTCACGTGACCTCTTTACCTTTCGCCATTTTAAACATTTTATTATAGTGTAACCTTGCGCGTTTTGGTACAAGAATAATTTAAATAATAGGGTCATAAATGTGATAATTATGGTTATTTTGGTTTTTTGATTACGTGATTTTAACCTTTCGTTCACGTGACGATTACGTGCTTAAGTAACGTTACGTTAAGTAACGAACCGCTTGATGATAACGTAACCTTGAGCGTTATAATTCGTTCATCATGCGATGCGTCATAACGTGATCACCACGTGATCGAAAGATCAGAGGCACATGATGATCACGTAATGAGGTCATGTAACCTTTTGCCATGTTGACCATTTGAACCTTTGACCTTTCGATCGAAATATTTGAATTTGACTTTTTGATCACGTGATTATCACGACACCTTGACCTTTTGATCAGGTGGTGATTATTATGGTGACTTTGATCCTTGACCCCTTTCGATCATCACATGATCATCACGTGACTCTGACCTTTCTATAACGCGATCATCAAGTGACTGACCTTTCTATACGTTAACATTACGTGACTTTGAACTTTCGATCACGCGACGATCACATAATTACGTCACGTGACCTTTCGTTCATTTGGTACAAAAATAATTTAAATAATAGGGTCATAAATGTGATAATTATGGTTACTTTGATTTTTTGTACAAGAACCAAAAATTATTATGGTTAATTTGGTTATTTTGGTTTCTTCCATTGTACAGACGTTCTCATCCAGTTGAAAGATTAGCATTACACTTAGAAATTAAACAAAATTTAATTTTCCCTGAAAATGAAGAAGTAGAAGCAGCCAAAAAGCCTGGTACTACTTTAACAGCGTGGTTTGATTTAAATAAAAATGATGTTCATGCTAGAAAATTCACGTACGTAAATAATTTACAAGACTATAAGTACAATAAAAAATTTTGAATTTGGGAACGGAGATCACAATTTTCAAATACATTGGGAAGAATAGTTAGTGTTGTGCCAAAAGATGTTGAACGGTTTTATTTAAAATTAATTTTACACAAAGCTAAAGGCTGCAAATCATTCGACGATTTAAGAACTTATAAGGGTATTAAATACGATACATTTAGAGAAACGGCGATTGCAATGGGATTAGTAGATAGCGATCTAGAAATAAAAAAAATATTGACGAAGCTTGTTTAATAATGATGACGAAACAACTTAGAAAATTTTTCCCTTGGTTTATAATTATTAACAATATACCAATGATTCGAAACGTTTGGCAAACTTATAAAAAATATTTTTTGGAAGGTTTTAAAGATAATCATGAAAACAGAGCTTTGAAAGAAATAAATGATATTTTAGAATTTGAAAATTTAAGCTGTATTGATGTCGGTTTACCAGCACCGAATCTGGATTTTTTAAAAACTCTTGTTGATGAAGAAGATTTAAATAGTCAACTGGAATTTTATAAAAATGAATATCTTCTTAGATACAAAAAAATGAATTTAAATCAAAAATTAATTTTCGATTACGTAATAACACATTTACGTAACGCTGGTAAACCGACATCAATACTTCTTCATTTTCAGGGAAAATTAAATTTTGTTTATTTTCTAAGTGTAATGCTAATCTTTCAACTGGATGAGAACGTCTGTACAATGGAAGTATTATATAAAATTTTATATTATTAAACATATACTCATATGAAATTGTAAACGAGGGGGGTTGGCGCGCGAAGCGCGCAGGGGGGCTCGCCCCCCTAGTTTTTATATAAGCCAAAGTTTAATGTCAATCTACATTTTCAACATAAAATTGACATCTTTGAGCCCTAAAAATGTGAGAAAAATTTGCATAATAGGCCTTTACATAAAAAAATAGCTCATTTTTTGTTAAAAACAGCCCATAAAGGATACTTTTCTGAAGATTTTGAGACCTATTAGGATCTTTCAACCCAAGAACTCTGATCTGAACCTTGCGCACAGTGCCAAAAGGGTAAAATGGCGCGGGTGTATTACTTAACAAATATTCCCGACGTAACACATTTTTACTTAAGCTACAATATAAAACGTGCAAGCTCTTCAATCGTGTATTAATCCAAATTTGCTTTTGTTTTTCAATTTGCCATATTTTACACATGCTAGACAAAGTTTGGCCCGAAAAATAAATATATAGCCTTAATGAGCACAAAATTACCTTGTTTTTTCTTGATTATTTCTATTGTAAAAGCCTCCAGAGTGCTCATGTCGCTTTGGAACCCATTTCTTTTGAAAATTTTGACCATTTCAAACATAAAAGCTCCGTGTCACTTTTACTATCGGGTCTTTCTACACTGAGCTCGAGCTTAATGAAATATTTTGCGATATTTGATAAATTACGGAAAAATGCCAAAAATGCCAACTTGGGAATTCGAAAAAAGGGGCATAGTAAGCCCTAATCGTTCTATAAATTTTTCTTTACATTTTTAACATGCCAAACAATGTGTTCGTCATATTAGATATAGAAAAAAATTTTGACCGTTTGAGTTGACAGTAATCGGTCATATACTGAGGATCAATAAAGTCGTTTTTTGTGTATGAAAATAAATTTAAAGTATATAATAATTAATGCATCGTGTCACACGAAGAGTCAGCGCCAGCCTTGGAATTGCTTGTTAACCAAGTAAAAGAACGGCTATCCACTTGATTGTCGTCCGAGAATGAAGATTCCCAAAATAATTCTGGATCAAAATCGACGCAGCAAAGAGAAAGTCGACTCATTTTGTTGGGTGTGATTTGCTGATCAGATCCTAAGGTCGTTAATTGACTTCGTCTCGTATAATTTTCACTGAAAATTTTAAGTCAATTAAATTGTATAATTTTAGGCAGATATGATGTATACAAAAAATGCAAAATTTTTTGCCATAGTATTTTATGCAACGGCTGTGGATAGGCTTTTTTGATAAAGCCCAGAATCCCTACCACGCATGTCACAATCTTATAGCTGTCAAGCAGCTCAATATAAATCATGTATATTTATTTAAGAGAAAGCATTTGATCCTTCTACTAAATGAATTTACTCAAAGTAGTCAGTGAAATAATCATAAAGGGACCTAATTAATGCCTTTCTAGCGATCCGAAGATATGCTGTATAAATTTTGGAATCGATATGATCATTTTCACCCCTATTGATTGAAATATACGAATTTATTTAAATTAATGATTCATATTATGATTCGTTAAACAATTATTTGGAATTATTATAGCGCGAAGTGGGTGATTCTCGCGCGAGTCTCAGTTTGACGCCCGAGCGCAGCGAGGGTGACAATGAGACGAGGGTACTATTTTTCACTGCGTTTTTGGATTGCACCTTACTCTAACATTTACCCCATGTATAATACCTCATTTTATGCGTATTTGTATCTAGAATTTGATTGTTAATGAGGGATTACATCAAGTTACATCAAGCACATCAAGAGGGACAGTTATCATAGAAAATACACTCCACAACAAAATTATTTCATCAAACAATATTCAAATGCATTTATCTTTCTCTATTTTGATCGTACCGAGACGATCCTTTTTTTGGATTTCTTGGAAATTTTTTCCTTTTCATATCGATATATACTATGATTAGGCTCGAGTCAATATCAACTTACCCGTAGTATTTGAGCTCAACACTAAAAATTACTGAAAAAAATTGATTGTTTCATAGTGTACCCCCACAACAGTAATTTGATTGTCAAAATTTAACATACACTATTGTAAAGTACTTTTTATCAAATAGAGCATGCTACGATTGTTTTGGCGCCCTGTGGCTCGTTTTGCAGGTACGATTCGTGTACGCAAAATACCCAGAAAATAGTGTTGATTTAAGCTAAACGAGAAATTTTACGTACTTTAAATGGCAAATTCGAAGCGACCTACAGGGCGCAAAAATATCGTAAAGAGCTCTTATTTTTTTTTTGATTATTTATTGAAAAGAGTACTTTGCGATAGTGTATGTTCACTCATTACTGCAGTCCATAGACTCGTTCAAAAATAGTACTTTTTAACACTGCGTGCGCGAAACACGGGTTTTCTAACCTTAAAGCGTCAGAAAACCCTAGTTTCTCGCAAGCAGAGTTAAAAATATCGTTTGCAACTAGTCCGCGAGGAAGTTGACTCACCCAGGAGTCTTTGCACCCTCGCTACGCTCGGGTGAAAACCACTCCTGGATGAGTCAACTGCTTCGCGCACTCGTTACAAAATATACTATTGCCGTGTCAGCAAAATATCTTTTGCCGATCCAGCTGTCCATTCAGCTAGATTTGCATATAAAATTTTTTCAGTGCAGTATTAATCACAATTATTAAAATAAATTGATCACTCAGCTTTATCAACAATTCGCACAAAAAAGTAATAAAGAATAAACGTAAATATTTTACATCACTTTTGAACAACTAGTTTTTAAGTAGCACATCTTCCAGGAAATAGCATTTTTCCATAGTTAAGATATAAATCGCCATGATTTTTGTAAATCTAGACGAGCTCATTTTCAGAGTATTTTAATTAATGATAATATATTCAGAAAGTAATTAAAAACTATTGAAATACTTATTATTAATGCTCAATTATATTTTCAAATGCCCCCCTGATGAGTGATTTCAGTATAACTAAATTATATTAATTTATAAATAAAGTTTCATTCACTGGTGCGTTTCCAATCTCTGGATAGTTTACTCTATATTTTCGTTTTTCAATTGCCATTTTTGTACTTTCAATCATATTTCACTAATTGGAATCGTCATTACATTAAGAGAAGGACCCATGGATGCTTTATTTGTACCGAAGACGCCAGGATTTAAAAGATTTCTATGTGAAAATTCGAAAAGAAGAAAACATTTAAAAATTTTAAAAAATTTTAAAAAACAAGGACGTAAGAAATTTTTTTTTATTTCCGAGTTCCAACGGGGAAATTTTTTATCGTTGCTCAGTACAAAGCATCTGACTAAGGAAATATTTTTGAGCGCACTGGTAATAATCATCTTACAGATCAAAATATGTTTACCTAATTATCAATTTCAAGTGGATATCTTATTTCGAAAGAATCTTGCAAGAAAACAAGGTCCGAGATTCATCTGAAATGACCAGAGATTTTGAACATTTTTAAATGAAACTAATTATAAATATTCATAGGTAATAAAATTACTATAAAATTAGACAAATTATAGTATAAATTTTAAATTATGATTACTAATGAAATAAATATAAATCCAACAAATTGCTTTAACAGAAGCTATCATCCAAATTTACGAAATATCGACGACGAAAATCTGTTGAACGCAGCTGTAAGAGCACTTCAGGAAAGTCAGAGAGTGATCACAAGGTGGTTATTTTGAAATAATTGCTCGAGCACAGGGTTGCATTAGATGAAGAAAGGTTACGCTCATAAAAACCATTAGATCATCTCAGATAAATTACTTTGCAAGTATGTACATTTTTTACCTGAGAGTGTAGCGACTTTTTTAATGTAAATCGTCGATTTCTCATGTTGCAGTTCAAAGCCATGGCATTTTTTCCTCGAATAGGTTGTGCGTGCCAAAATTTTGATTACATTTTACCCGATCTCGATGACACATTCCACGATCTCCATGTCTCTCTCGACATCGAAAATATGGACTTGCATCAGCTTGCACGCAAAGTAACGCAAGCAAAAATGGCGCTCCTTTGGATGATGAAAACGACTTTGGTTTAACGCCCATAATGGAGGCTATAATTCAAGAAAACCGCAAAATTCTCGAATGTTTGATAGAAGCTGGGTTAGTCAAAATATGATGGAAATTTTTTGAAAAAAAAAAGAAATGAGCTCAATATTCATCATTTGAAATTCAGCTCGCAGGTAAATTACGCCAATAGCAAAGGCCTGACGCCCTTCTCGTGGCCTGCAACACGGGCAACATCGTGGCCTTGGATATTCTGCTGTCTCGCAACGCCGCCGACGCGAGAACGAACGAAGAAAATCTGGGGGCGCTGCATTTCCTTACGGTTAGCAAAATCAGGCATCCGTACAAAGTGTCGTCAAAGGACATCTGCAAATATGCCAAGAAGCTTCACCAGACCGGGGCTAACATCAACGGTCAGGACAGTGAAGGCCAGACGCCGCTGTATTACGCAATGAAGACCGGCGATATAGAATTATTTAAACATTACATGGAGCTCAAGGCTGAAGCCTCGTTCCTTACTAGCGACAACAACACGATGCTGCACGAGCTGATGGTGGATTCCGGCCAGCTGACTAACGATTAGGAACAAATGGCAGAGATACTACTGAACGAAGGTAAAAACTAGCGAATTTGAATTTGGTTTGAATGCATTAATAATTAATTTTGCATGAATAGGAGCCGATATAAATGCGGTCAACGGTAAAGGAGAAGTTCCGTTGCATTGTGCAATAATAAGCGGCCGACCGAAAAAAGTTGAGTTTCTGCTGAAGCACGGAGCCGATCACAACAGATGGTGGTCGAATAGTCTAGGTTCGGCGCTAAATCTCGACAATGACTGGAGCGTCGGCTGCGACGGTTCAGCAACCTGCTCCGCGACTCATCATCCGGACGAGCTGACGCTGTTCAACTCGGCCATAAAGCTCGGCAAAGTCGAGGTCGTTGAATATCTCATATACTACTTGGGTTTTGAGGAGGTCGAGCGGCCGAATCGAATTGATAAACACGATGCCGTCAAGACGTTGCTGTTTTATGCGCTTCCATCGGTGGAGATAGTTGAAATTTTATTGGATTCTCTTGTCACCACAAAAGGTATACTTAACTCATTCCATTTGCCATATTTTTTCGATTATGAATGGTGCAATTTGCGGGGCGCCGTCTAGCAGTGACGTGTCTGATTAGTCCATGCATATGTGTGTTCGTGCGTGCAATGAAATACAGTGCATTTAGTGTACATTTATAGACCGGGAGATAATGACCGATTGGGCATAACGATTTTTTAACTCATGCCTCTTAATTAATCATCCATTTTAGAGGTCGATGACAATTGCCTAAACCCTGCCGACAATCGCAAATAGGTTTTTATTTATAATTTCGCGAATTTCCCACGATTAGCGCTTGTCATGACTCCCTAAAGTAATTTAAAGATACCATAGTGAATGAAATTGCATGCTTACGGTCAAAATATGATCTAAACATCTTCACAATGGGCAGAAAAAATTATTTGCACTCCCAGTACGATGTAATAACATTAAAAATAAAAAAACCACTGCCAAGTCATTGGCAAAGTGCTTCCTCCGTTTTTTGTGTATTGTTGTGTATAGCAAGCCCAGCCAAATCTAGTTACGAATCTTCATTAAATATACTACTTACAAAGAAAAATACAAGCCTCCGTTCAGAAGAAAAAAAATTTTTTTTTAAATTCCCTTTTTCAATACCCTATTTGAAAGTATTTTGGGCAGTTAGATATTTAGAAACAGTTAAGTACATCAATAGAAAGTGTGTTGACACACAACACAAGCTTTAAACACATCTAAGCTACCTGTCGTAGAAATCGAGCGAGCATTAATCTAATAAAGACTATGTGGTTTCATTTTTTTCAATAGCCAATTGGACATGGTCGCAACCAAAAGCTAGCCATAAGATGAACTGTAGCTACTTGTACATATAGCAAAGTGAATTTAATTTATGGAAAATGGTGAAAAATGAATACTAAATTCTAGAAAATTGTACACGCAAGAAAATCAAGAATTCTTTTCTTGTTTCAACAAATAGAATTTGTTGAAAATTTATTAAGTATGGCTTCTTCTAAAGCTCCGTCGAAAACTGACTCAAAAACCACCGGTGGATCAGACTGATGATGCACCTGAACCGATTTTTGATTCAAAACTGATTGTCGAAGTTATGGATCTAGTTATTCGAGCAGGTGAATTAACAATGACTCATGATCCAATAATGACGCGTAGCTCGACTTTCAAACACTACTGTGATTTAGCTGCACAAATTTATGAAGAAATGCACAAAGATATTTTGAGACGAGTAAAGCAGATAATTAAATCAACCGATTACTTTAAAAATTAAACATAGAATTGCATATATGTGTTGTAAGTATAAATAAACATATATGAATAGATAAACTACTCAACAAATACATTTATTTGTAGGTAAAATTTACATATAAACTGTGCTTTCTCGAGGTTGAGGAACGTAACCCTCTCTTTCCCATAAGAGTAAGGTCTTATTATCCGCGGTTTTGTTATACGCGGTACTTTTGAGGAACGTAACCCCCGCGTATAACGAGGGACTCCTGTATCGTAAATCTGACTCCAGATTTGAAAAGAGCCATAAAAATACCATAAAATATGGTATTTTCACATTAATTTGACTATGTTTTCAACAAAAAATAACGCGTGGAGAAATAAGTCAAAAATAGGGTCTTTTGGTATTAGACGGGTTAAGTAGTCTATTACTTCGCGTATTCTAATATTTACGCGAAACCACGATGTTTATCTCACGAAGAGTGAATTTGTGTAACTGTTATATTAGTATACATAGATCCTTGATTGTTGTCTGATGTCTTACACATCAAATATTCGAATAAAAATTTATTGTTTGATCAGTGCCAGAGCATTTCGACATGAGGGACAGTAGGATGGGATATTTATATGTGAATTGTGAATATTTTTTCCACAAACATCGGGCTGATATACTTATTAATTTGGTAAATTATTTAGATAGTAACGAAATTGAAGAAGAACAATTAGAGGATGAAAATATGTTAAAGAATATAATACATGAGGGAATGGGAAGATTTATGGGATCTGATATTCCGTTGTTATATTTAAACAATTTTAAAAGTACGATTCTTACTTATAAAATTGATTATTTGAAGACGGTAAATTTATATCGATTAAATTATGCCATATTGGCAGTCGCTTGTGTTGAATATGCCATGTACCCTGACCAAAATTATGAACAATATTTGAACATATATTCTTGTAGTAGATCGTCCTCAAAGAAGCTGTATAATAAGCTGAATAGTTTTCCAGATCGAAAAGAACAAAAAGATAGCATACTTGTATCAACTAGATCTTTTTTCAAGTGCCTTAAGTTAAAAGATCAACCTGATTTCTTGAAAATGATCAGAGCATATTTAAAAAATATTGAAATAGATAATTATGAATTATCTTATATACGAGAAGCATCGATTAAATTTATGTTAGTATATGATTTCAAATGTTTAATAAAATTTTTCATTCTAAAATTATATTCAATTTTCAGACATGATAATGAAGCTAGCTATACTGCTAAACAGCAGCTCCGTTCATCTACGCAGGCAGGTTCATCGAAACCAGTAAAGCGTAAACTTACTTCCCTTATGAACCCTCTTAACCAAACAGAAAAATGTAAAACTTTAATGACTAAAGAATATTTTTTGAACAAATGTAATGCAAATGCTATTATAAATTTACAAGAATATTTAATTGTTGAGGAAATTGAAGATGAAAGTTTAGAGGATAAAAGGCTTTTATGGGACATGCTTCAAAAAGCCATGAAAAGATTTCTGAAGAAAAAACTACCAACAAATTTAGAATTCAACACGTTTAAAAGTACACTCCTTAATTTTAAAGTTGATTATTTAAAGGTAGCTAATCTATACCGAATTAGCCACGGGATATTGGTAGTTGCTTGCATTGAGTATATCTTGTTCCCTGGAAAAAGTGATGAAGAATATTTAAAAATATATTCTTGCAACCAAAGGAACGCGCTCAAGTTATATAATAAACTGCGAGGATTTTCAGAACAAAAGGAAAAAAATACTGCCATAGTTAAGTCGGCTAGATCTTTTTTCCGGTACTCTACATTTCTAAACAATACTGAAAGCTCGAAAGCAATACGATCGTACTTAGGAAGCATTGAAATTAATGATGATGAGTTAAAGTACATAAAGGAAGCATCAATTCAATTAATGTATGTAAATATATCAAAAGTAGTAAATACCGTTTCATATCTAAAATAATATTAAATTTTTAGACATTATAATGCAGCTAACTACACCGTTAACACGCCCCCAAATATCATTGTTCCGATCGAAGATCGTTAATTTTTGCCACGAACGATCGGCAGCTTCATTTAATCACAGGAGATGTGCCATCGGTAAATTCTGTTAATTTATTAGTCGTATCAAAAACTTCATGACCACCGAAAAATTGTAGAAGTTCGCGGTCATTTGATGCATGCTAAATTGTGTACATTATCAAAAGAAAAAACTGTAATTTCATCAGAAAATGACTTAATTGTTAGCAATCTAATGCAATTAATCTTTTAGTCCTATTTAATAAAACATTTTTAATAAAATTTTTAACTGGCATAAAAGAATTTATAATTTTTTTCATGTAATAATATGCTTTATAACATAAATATTTAGTTTCAAATGGTATCGAAATTATTTTCACTAATTTATTTTAAATTTACAATGAAACCCAAAATCATAATTCTATATCGAAACATTTGGTGAGAAATCGAGCAACGAATTTATGTGACCGAATAGTGATTCGACAGTAGTCAAATCCATAGAGACAAAAAATTAATATCAAGCTACATAACATAGTAAATAATTCATCGGCATGTGTAGCTAAGTACTCTACCATTATTCGACGGTTAATTCATCTGCACGATCGATTATTTCGTTTATTTTTGCTCTGAGCCTTCGTAACTTTTTTTATTACGTACTAAAACTGCACGCGTATTATGCCGAAAAGAGCATAGTGTGAGTTGATAAAGATATCAAGTTGCACACTCGCCATTAGACATCGTAGCGAAGAAAGTACATTAAAATAGATAAGATCGTTTGCACTCTTGAAGCATAGACACAGAAGAAGAGAGAAAATGCCTCAAAATTTTCTATAGATTTTTAATTGTATTACCCAATTTCATGTTATATGTTTACATGTTGTTGTCTTTAGTTTTATTTAATAAAGTCTACACCCTCATAGAAATTAAACTGTGGTAAAATTATGGGAAAAAAGTATGTCAAAATTATTGATTTAGTTCGTTTCTCATAGTTTTCCCATAATTTTTTCAAAGTGATTTTTAAATTATGAGAAAACTTTAATTATTTTGCCATACTTTCTTTCCATAATTTTACCACAGTTTAATTTCTACACGGGCATCAATCTGATAGATAAGTACAATTCATGACACAATATTATTTAGCCGATTAACATCGGTTCCTTCAAGAGTTAAATAAATCAAAACAAAAGCAAACGACTAACATGTAAACATTTATACTCTTTTTAAAAATGTAACGAGAGCAGGCTATTTTTTTAAATGAAGGACTGTAACATAGTATTTTATTCAAATTACACATTTTAAATATTGAAAAATAAATTGTATAATCGTAGTTTTTATTATGTAATGCTAAAATATCTACAAAGAGTGATCAAAATTTGACTTCAGCCCAGACCCGACAATTCTCCCATTTAGCTGACAAGAATTCTATCGATTGAGCAAAGAAAGTCTTGGTTCAATTCATGGCTATGTTAATATACTAAAAATTTTATTATCACTCTATTCTGCACAGTTAAGTTTCTTTAATTACTTCATGGCATTTGAGAAATCAAAACACACAATAAGAATTTTTACTAATTTTTATTTAATTTCGAAGTATAACGAATATATATTGGTTTGACAATATAACATAGCAATTCCATGCTTACTATCGTAATAATTATTTAAAATATAATTTCAATTGATTATTTTTCAATTTGATATTCTTAAACAATTCATTTACATTTTTTTTGCATCTTAAATTTCAGACAAAGTGAATATCTGGATTGAGTTTGAAGGAAAATAAAAGCACCATTATTTATTCCGTATTCAAAAGGAACGGAAAAATTATATACCGGACGTATTAGAAATCGAATGAGCTCTTGAGTAAGTTTTTACGTTTAAACTTGCATACAAAACAATTTCAGAGTAATTTTATGTCGATTTTATTATTATTCTCTCTTAAAAACTACTGCCAATGCATTGGAAAAAGCTTACTATACAAAAAAAAATAACCCTTGTATTCTTATTATCAATTGTGTTAATGTCTATTAATAGTAATGAAATAATTTTTCAAAAAATATACAAAAACATGGGTGAATATTGCCAATTCCTCGTGTCTTTTAATTCCTACTAAGCTTGAAGTTTTAGTCACCGATGAAAGCGAACGTATAATTCAAGCTATCATAAATGAACACCATCATTATTACGATGCAATACTTAAGATATTAAGATAATATCAACATTTTCGATCTTAAATTAAAGTCGTACATCTCATCTTTCATAATCAGTGACTAAGTTATAAATTAAACATGTCTCAACGTCGAAAGATAAAATAGCGAAAAGCCCTTGCCAATTCATTGGAAACAAGCTAGCTCTTAAAAGTATGCTTTTTTACATTTATACTTATGAATATTAATAGAAAATTACTAATATTCGATTCTAAAATAATTTCTTAATCCGGAGGATGTATTTTTTGCACAAAGCGCGCTGAATGTGTCTTGTTTAATAACCAATCGTGGACCATCATCTCTGTCGTACTTCTCTTCTCATTCATATACCTTAAGGGGAGTCATACACCAATTCCCTCCTCTTGGTCATTTTTTATATAAGTCAAAGTTTAATGTCAATCTACATTTTTAACATAAAATTGACATCTTTGAACCCTAAAAAATGTGAAAAAAATTGCAGAATAGGCCTTTACATAAAAAAATAGCTCATTTTTGCTATTTTAGCCTTTTGGCATTGTGCGCAAGGTTCAGATCAGAGTTTTTGGGTTGGAAGATCTAGATAGGTTTCAAAATCTTCAGAAAAGTATCCTTTATGGGCTGAGTTTTGAGGAATTTTGATTAGATTTATAAAAAAGTTTGTATGCCAACAGATGTGAAAAAAGCAAAATACAAAAAAAAGTTATCAATGTTTTTGAGCACACATTGAATAATAGAACTGATATGAAGGTCTAAATCAAAATTTCACAAAACTCAGCCCATAAAGGATACTTTTCTGAAGATTTTGAAACCTATCAGGATCTTCCAACCCAAGAACTCTGATCTGAACCTTGCGCACAGTGCCAAAAGGCTAAAATAGCAAAAATGAGCTATTTTTAGATGCATAGGCTTATTCTGCAATTTTTTTCACATTTTTTAGATGTCAATTTTATGTTGAGAATGTAGATTGACATTAAACTTTGGCTTATATAAAAAAATGACAAAGAGGAGGGAATTGGTGTATGACTCCCCTTAACCTTACCGTTGCTTGCCCAACCTTTTATTGTTTTAATAAAGTAAAAAAAAAAAATTCCATGAATTTTTTGCCCTTAAAATCAATGTTTAAAGGTCGCTCAACAATTAAATATGATTAAAAATGTGAAAAGTACTTCAACCCATTTCAGTATAAAAAAACCTCAGCAACATTGCTCTCTTCGAAGCTGCATAAATTACACGATTGGCGATAAAGAAAAATAAAACCTACATATTCTGAAAGTTGATAAGCTCTCCTTTATGATGTTGGTATTTAAAGTCTGCCTTTATGTTGTTAGCATCGTAAAAATTAGTTAAAAAAAAAAAATTTTTTTCCCCTACTTTTTTAAAAATCAAATTTCCGGGCTTGCCATGACAACGAATGAACGCACTCATAAAACGAGAATCTCTTATCCAATGTACTTTTTGATACGAAATCCAATGGTGATATTGGTAACTATTTCATTCCTTGTCAAAAAATACGTCGGATATAATATTATTTTTAATTTACTTGCACTCGTTTTCGCGAGATTTTGAGGGGGTTTCAAAATTTTGCCACTCCTTGTATGAGCAGTGTGAAGTCCATCGAATAACGATGTACTACTTCTTAAATTACTCGAGCAAGGATTGAAGTATAAATACAATAAAAGGGTGGGCAAGCAAAAATAAAAATATTTTTTTATTTTGGATCATTCTAGTATGTATATTGTAAAAATACCAGTGCTACGATCAGTAACTATTACTCAGAAGCAAGCACATACAACGGCGATATTTATTGGTTTGTTAATGCATCATTTACTTAGCTGAAACTCGAAAACATAGCGAGTACTTAAAAAAACTCGAGTGTTTGAAAATACTCTATAAAACTCAAGTACTCGAAAAATCAAGTTTGAGGCGAGTAGTCGAACGAGTCGAGTTTTTTTCGAGTATTCCCACACTTCGAGGAGCGATACTCCAATGCTACCCGTATTAAAACTTCCAACATTTGACGCTACTCATAAAAATTTAGGATAGCTTATGCGGATTCGGGTATTCTATTAATATCGCTCCACTATAATTCAGGATTCAAGGATTAATATATATAGCGCGTATATTTGTAATCTCTTGCTCTCTTTTTCGTTGAAGCTCTAACATCTTGCGGTCTTCACGCGCTAACACATTATCCTAGTTTTTTGTAACTAGACTATCGTTGAGTCAATCTCGTGGTACGTTATAACTAAAAGTGTATCGAAGATATAATATCTATCTTATATGTGCAAACTCTACAATAAAAGTCTTGTATCGAACCTTGAACGTGTATCTAAGATTTTGGTGCAGCTAGAATAAGATAAGTGCGCGGGTGTATTACTTAACAAATAGTCCCGACGTAACACATTTTTACTTAAGCTACAATATAAAAGGTTTAAGCTCTTCAATCGTGTATTAATCCAAATTTGCTTTTGTTTTTCAATTTGCCAAATTTTACACATGCTAGACAAAGTTGGGTCCGAATAATAATTATATAGCCTTAATGAGCACAAAATTACCTTGTTTTTTCTTGATTATTTCTATTGTAAAAGCCTCCAGAGTGCTCATGTCGCTTTGGAACCCATTTCTTTTAAAAATTTTGACCATTTTTCGTTATACTATTGCATAATAGTTATTTTTTTTTAAATAGAGCTTGCTACGATTGTTTTGGCGCCCTGTGGCTCGTTTTGCAGGTACGATTTGTTTACGCAAAATACTCAGAAAATCGTGTGGATTTCAGCTAAACGAGGGATTTTACGTACTTTAAATGGCGATAGTGTATGTTTACTCATTACTGTAGTTCATAGACTCGTTAAAAAAATTAACTTTTTTCAATAATTTTCAGTGTTACGCCCAAACACTACTGGTAACTCGATATTGACTTGAACCCATACATAATAGAGGAGTCCCTCGTTATACGCGGGGGTTACATTCCTCAAAATGACCGCGTATAACAAAACCGCGGATAATAAGACCTCTTATGGGAAAAGGAGGGTTACTTTCCTCAACCTCGAGAAAGCACAGTTTATATGTACATTTTACCTACAAATAAACGTATTTGTT